CCAAACAAGACTGTTATCCTGTCCTCAAAAGCCTCGAAACCTGGCATGGACTTGGCCTCCTTATGGATGAAAATTCTTTCAGGTATCTGTTTCCAAAATAGTAAGGTTACATCTATACTGAATATTTGCTCTGGCAATTAATTTTCTTCCACAATTAACTTATCTAGAGTTTCCAAAAGTTCTTTAGCTGCCTTCACATCAGCAGTGGCAGACTTATCACTCACTTTCACATTATGTAATATATAACAATTCTTGAATTGTTTAAACCACCCAAAGCTAGCAGTAAATTCAACATCATGGTTGGGTCTTTCAACGTTGCCAACAAACTTCTTGCTTTGGCCATCATAGACATGGTCCTCAGAGGGACCTCTTCTGTGTCTGGTCTTCAATCCAGGACATTAGAAGTTTTGCCATGTCTGATATAGGCCCTCCTTGAATTTTTGTTAGTCTCATTGCCTTCAATGAAGCATATCCATTAATAGCATCTATCACTCTGTTCTTGTTCTTTAAGATTGAAGCTATGAACCAATGGGACATGCCTGAGTGGTGATTTTCTACCTTCATAGTCCTTAATCACTTTTAATTTTGTTTCCAGGTCAATCACTCAACATAGCCTCTTACTAGCAACATTAGCAGTAGATCTGTATGCTAAGGGTCCATGATGAAAAGAACAACATGAGATTAAATCAAGCACAAGAGAAAATAATGTAATCTAGAAATGAGGTAAACAAGAGATGATGAGGCTGCTGCCAGCATAACACAGCATACTGTTTTACAGCAAACTTTTTAAATAAGTAGGTACACTCTAAAATAATGATTCAAAATATAGTAAATTTAAAAACCAGTAACATATCATTTATTATCAATTGTTATTTTCCGTACATAATTCTACGTGCTGTACTTTTATATGACTGGCAGCGCAATAGGTTTACACCAGCATCTCCATGAATATATGAGTAATGCATTGCACTATGATGTTACAACAGCTAGGACATCACTAGGTGATCAGAATTTTTCAACTCCATTATAATCTTATGGGACCACCGACATATATGTAGTCTGTTGTTAATCAGAATGTCATTATGTGATATTCTTACTGAAATGTTAGGGCGGGCTACTTGGAGGAGGTGGCATTTTACCCAAGATCTGAAGTGTGAGTAGACTGGGAATTATTAAGGAGTGTTCTAGCCAAGGGAGCAGCATGTTCAAAAGTGTGGAGGCATAGATCATGAGCAATTATTTTTGGGGGGATGGGGGTGGAGAGTTGGAGACAGTGAGGGTCTTGAAGAAGGGAGTGCAACAAGAGAGGCTGTGGCCTATGGTGCCTTTCATGTCCCGATGGACTTAATTCATTCCAGGTCACAAGCACTGACTGACTAGGTAGTTGGCAGACTTGGGGCCTCATGGGGGAAGGTGCTGAGCCTAGATATAGCCACTCCATTGTTTTCCCTCCCCAGAAGAAGGGCCTTGTAGGTCTTCAACCAGTTGGTGGTGGGCAGATAGAAGAGGGCCTGACCAGTGGTCTAGGCCATCGCAAACCTTAGCTCCAGGCACAGAGTCCAGGCATCATCTTGGAAGAGGCCATCAAGGTTGAGAGCTAGGGAAGAGTCGATGAACAGCTTGGGCTCAGGGGCTGGCTTTGGACCTTGAGGGAAGGGCTTGGTGGGTTATGGATGGAAAAAGAAAGCAGTCATGGGAAGTGGCCCAGCCCAAGCCAGGGACAAGCACCCTGGACCATCACAGCTCACCAGATGGGTCCTGAGGTCCTAGGATAGGCACTGACCACACCTCACTCTAGATGGAACTCTACTGCATGGCCCTAAAGAGTTGTGGCCTCTTGGGTCTCAGGTAATGGCCCAGCTGTCCATTACCTGAGACCCAAGACATTTGGGTCTCAGACATTTCCTCAAAGACCTTAGTCTGTCCAGGCTGCTATAACAAAGTCCGCAGTCTGGATAGCTTAAACAAAGAGCATTTATTTCTTAGTCTGGAGGCTGCAACTGTGAGATTAAGAAGTCTGCAGATCCAATATCTGCCTTTACCCAGGCCTCTCTGTTGCCTGTATCCAGGTGTGTCTATCACCTTCACCCAGGAGTCTGTCACCTTCACCCAGACATCTGTCACCTTCACACGGGTATTTCTGTCACTTTTACCCAGGGTCTCTGTCACCTTTACATGGTCCGTCACATTTTCCCAGCTGTGTCTCACAGAGAGTAGGACAAATATTAAGAACATCCCAGGGCTTCTGCGCAGAATAAATTTACCCAGGAATCAGGATCTTGCCCCCTCATGGTGGGTGGAGGGGCTACAGGCTAGACAAGATGTGCCAGGCAGAGCCATGTGGGTCTGCTGACCTTGAGAACCTTTGCTGCCCCAAGCTCAGAGCCTAGAGGTGGCACAAGGATTAGTCCCATCTGTCTGGTGACCAGAAAGCAGCCTCTAGTCCAATCTCTGTAGTGATGGGAGATGGTTTACATGGGATCTAGAGCTCAGTGCATCTTCCCAGCCCTGGACAGGCCCCAGAAAAGGACTGGAGGGGAGTGGGCAGGTTCACAGTATCCCTCACCCCAGACCCCAAGCAAGGTCGAGGGCTTCCATGCAGGGCACAGCCATCAGGGGCTCCATTTACCCTGCCAAGCTCAGGGGGACAACCTTGCTTATTCCACCAGAAACCTGCACTAGCTGCGCCTGCCACCAGTGGTAAATTCGTGGAGCAATTTCTAGGAACAGCACTTTAACTGAGCAGTGAGTTCTATCCCAAGCTGTGCTCAAGGAGATGTTCCCAGAGTAGCTTCCCACTGCACAGATGCCCAGAGCCTGCAGCCAAGGGGTAACAGAGTAGTCAGCCACTGTCCTCAGTGTCCAGCAGGCAGGAGGGCTCTTACACATGGCTCTTCTTTGCCCTTGCCCTCACTTCTCCAGTGGGCACACAAATGAGAGAAATAGCATCTGAGCTGGTTGCATGGAGCCAGACACCATTCCTGGATCGGATTCTTCTACCCCCATGTTGTTTCCCACTTCCTTGGGCTCAGGGAGCCCCTCCAGGGGCCCAATGGCATCATTTCTGGAGTCAGTCTGCCTGGCGTCTCCGGAAACCCCTTGTGGAAAATGCAAACTCATGATGATTCTCGGGTTGACAAATACGCTTGTTTCCCCAAAAAGAAGCTGGTGGGGGAGAAGCTGACAGAGGGAGGAAATCAAAAGAGGGACTCATTGGGAGCCAGGCTGAGGCCTCAGAAGCACGCTCCTCATGTGTGTGCACATATGTATGGGAGTGCTGTGTATATGTGTGAGTGTTGTGCATGTGTGTACATTTGCATGTGCATATGGGAGTGCCGTGCACATGTGTACATATATGTTTGCATTTTCACCTATGTGTATAGTTGCCTGTGCATGTGCCTGTGCACATATAGGGAGGGTGGGTGGAACCCCATTCTCACTTGCTGTGTGGTCTTGGGCTTGGAGCCTCCTCAGATCCCTCATCTGTAATGAGAGTGGTGACAGGGCACTGAAAGAGAAAGTGTGCTTTACAATCATGCCTGCAAGAAAGCAGAAGACATCCATGGGCAAGCATGAGGAACTTGGTCAGCTCACAGGGCCCCCAGGGGCCTGACAGTGCACATCGAGGGTAACACCAGGCCCTCTAGGACTTGTATGTCATATTTCCACAGCAGGATCCTGATCCATGGCAAGAGAGAGAGGTAGAGACATGCTGGTCAAGGGGGCCTGAAACTGAGGATAGGGGCATGGACACCCTAGTCAAGGGAGGCTGACCACTGAGGACAGGGGACGCAGACACCCTAGTTGAGGGGGGCCTGGCATGGAGGAAGATGGAGGCATAGATGCTCTGGTCAAGGGGTCAAGGGGGGTCTGGCATTGAGAAGGACGGGAGTATAAACACCCTAATTGAGGGAAGCCCAGCACTGAGAGTGAGGGTGCAGACACCCTGATCCATGGGACTAGCAATGAGGAAGACAGGGCATACAGATACCTGGTCAAGTGGGGCCCAGCACTGAGGAGGAGGGACGTGTGTGGCCAAACCGCAGGCAGCAGATGGCGGGCGTAAGGAACCAGAGCTCAGGACCTGGGAGGGCACAATGATGTATTTTATCTCTAAATTTTCTAGAATGTCCCTTGGACTGTTTTGTTTTCAGAGTCTGCATTCCCTCTTCTGGGATCCTGGACAAGATTTTGTGTTTCCAGTCTCTGAACTACTAAGAAATCTGCCATTGGCTCCCATGTGGTGGTGGGGAAGGGGGGGATATGATGCTCTTTCCTGAGAAGGATAGTCTATGGGGCCAGGCAGAAGCCCCAGGGCAGGGGGGGTGTCTCCTCAAGCACGTCATGGGATGGGAATGAGAATGTGGTTGAGCTCGCACTCCCTCAAGTGCAGGGTTCCCTTTTTTTGGCTGAGTGACCTCCCACCTTGGCCTCATCAGGAAAATAGGAACAGCAACCCCCATCTGCTGTGGTAGCCAAGAGGAATCAAGTCAACTCGTATGGGGCAGCACAGGTCATTGGCTGGTGCCCCACAAGGCCCAGGGCTTGGGTGACAGAGTGATCTGGTGCTGACTGCATATCCTACCCATCTGGGGCTGGGGGCTGGGGAGGGAGAGGGAGAAGTGATAGGCAGGAATTAGTGTAGGAGGTTGGAGCTCTGGAGAGAAACAGTGGGAGGTAGGTGGCCACGGAGAGAAGACATGTAGCAAAGGGGATAGCATGGGCAGTGGGGTGGAGGGATGTCTCGGGGGGCAGTGGGATGGGAGAATTTCTGGGGGCCAGTGGGGTGGGGGACATCTTGGAGGACAGTGGGGGAATGTCTTGGGATAGGGGCTGGAGCAGGTGGAGGGGTGAGGCCCAGGCCCACAGCGATGGAGAGTATGGCCTGGGTAGGACCTGAGCCCAAACTGGATGAGGGACTCCAAGAACCCTCAGAGTCAGCTACTGCTAGAGGCATGTGGAATCTCAAGTCGGAATCATCTAAAAAAAACTCCTAAGCGGAGAGAGGAGACTTGCACATTTAATATCATTAAGCACCTTTGTAAAAAGGAGTAGTGCTTCTTACAGTAATTATAAATAGTAAAACAGCATTTAGAAAAGAAGCTGGCCTCCGGGCAGGTGGGGGCTCTTTGGTGCATGATAGGCGGCAGCGGCTGGTCTGTCAGAAGCCCCCCAGGTCGTCTGTCAGAAAGGCCAGCAGGAAGCGGCTGACGTGCCTGTCCACGATGACCGGAGAGAAGCCCAGGACGCGCCGGGCCCCTGGCAGCACCTTGGGGTCTAGAACACGAGGGTGTCTCAGAACTGGCTGAAGATGTCTTCTCTTAGCCTGACGTCCTGCGAGTCTTATAGCCGAGTAATGTGGGGTACCCTCCACAGCCAAGTGGGCCTGTCAGGCACTGACCCCACACGACCTCAACAATCTCTGCATGGCCAAAAATGGACTGTAGGGCTGCCATGCTAGGCCGAGAGGGGGCCTCAGCCATGGGCCTCCCGTCTATCTGTCAGGGCTATGACACTGGAGAAGACCCCAGACTGTGGGGGGTACCCTACTCCAAGCCCCATGCAAGGCAGGGCTTTCTAACCTCTGAGCTCCGGCTATGCCTCTCTTCCATGAGGCATCATTCTCTAACCTCTGGGGGTAGTGGGCCACCAAGGGCCAGGTATGGGAATCGGGACTCACCACTGCTGGGCCTAGTGGGATTGGGCCCCAAACTCTCTATTTTCCTTGAGCCCAGTTGCTGTCCCACTGCAGGTGAGGAAACGGGTGCAAAGAGGCTGGGGACTAGTGCCTCCCTACAGAACTGTGCAGACAGTGTGCCCAACAAATGTAGGAGCCCATCTGCCTTGGGGTTTCATGGGGGTTGGGCTGAGGCCTGGACAGGCAGCACCCACCTGGAGGGCAGCAGTAGATGAGGAGGGCCAGCCCTGCGGCCAGGCCAAGACAGGCCAGGAAGGCCACAGGTCCTGGGAGAGAAATGAGCATCAGGGGCTGCCTGCACCTTGGAAGGCGGGGAGGAGTCCTGAGGCTGCAAGGGATAGGCTTGTGTCCCACGCTGGGATCAGCCAGGCAGGGACACCCCCAGTGAGCACCTCAGGGGTTATGTCCATGAAAAGTCAGGAGCAGAGCCCAATTTGGAGTGGAGAAGCCCCGAGGTAGAGGCCTGGGTGTGTGTGTGTGGGAGGGGGCCAAAAGGAGGAACCAAGAGGTGGTTACCTCTGTCACTGAGCTCTTGGCTTGCGGTGCCTGAGTCTAGCTCTGTGCAATCTGAGTTCTCTGGAAACAAAATCACAGAATGTGGTTAGTCATGGGTAGGCCAGAGAGGAAAGTCCTCACCCACCCTCAGGAAACCAAGGGGGCTGCCAAGGTCCCTTGGTTCCGGGACCATCCAGCCCCAAGCTGAGTTGTGCTAGACCATACTGTACTGGCACTGAGCCCTCAGGCCCCCCTTGGGGAGTCAGTGCCAGGGCGGGGACCTTGTACTTTCTAGGACCTTGAGGGCCATGGGGTGGGGGTGGGGGTGGGGGAACCATCATTCCCTGGTGGCCAGGAGTCACAACATGCAGCATGAACACCTGCGCATTGAAGGTCTGATGTTCAGTTATCAGCAGGGTGCTCTCTCCCCAGGCCTCCCAACCAGCCACTTGCCAGATGGCCCTAAGAGCACCCGGAAGCATGGAAGGTATTTGACTCCCAACAAGGCTGTGGGGCCCTGGTGGCTGGTGTGACAAAATAGTCCAGCGCCAGAGCTCAGAGCCAGTCCTGCCAGCCTGTCCTTTGAGTAAGACATCAGCCCTGGGTATCAGCTGAGTGGAACCATGCCATCCTTCAGGGCCTCCGACTTTTTCTAAGAATCAAGGGACAGTAGCCGCTCCTCCTGGGGACCAGGGCAACCCTACCTGCATCTTCCCCATCCTGCTCCCAGAAGTTCAAAGGGACCCTCACACGTCTCCTAGGCCCACAGGTGAGACCCTCTTAAACAAAACACACATGCCCTGGACCTGCTATCTGGGCCTGAGACTGTTCTAGAGAAAACCCATACTGGGAATCTACCTGGGTGAAGAGTGGACACAACCTCATATCACCATGGGGGCCAGTTCACTCAAGGCTGATACAGCCCATAGCTGTGTGCCATTTCAATCAGAAGGGGAAGGATTCTCCCAGTGCACTAGGTTATAGCAAGAAGGGGCAGATGCTACATTTTGTATAAAAACTGGCACAAAAGAAAGAGAGAGAGAGACACAGAGACAGGTAGGGAGACAGAGATATCTGTGTTGCTGGAAATACTATCTGCCCTCTAGAGGCCACATGAGACAAGACTTGGCCAGAGGTGGTCCTCTGGAGAGCCACTGAGCACACAGATGCTGAGGCCTGGGGACTGAGACACACACTTACGCAGAGTGTGCCGGCTAGGCAGGCGGCTGTACAGTGGCTGGGCATGGATATACAAGGCACGGTAGAACTCCTGGCAATCCCGCTCATTGCTCCGCTGCAGGTGGCCCAGGAGGTCACAGAGCCGCACACGCAGGGATGCTTTTGGGTTTCGGAACTGGTGGCATAAGGAGCGCAAAGGAAGATCAGGCTGGAGGATACTGGGCCAAAGGTGGCTGTGGAGTGGGGTTAGAGGGGCCCTGGGGTCAGCCCCCCAACTCCCTCCAGCCTCAGCTTCGTCATGGAGAGATGACTTCCCCTGGATGCTCCAAACACCCCTGGGGAGGTAGTGACTATGACCCATGGCCTCATGGTACCTTGAGACTGTGCTGGAGTCCCAGAATGGATGCTAATCCTCACACTCCCAGTGAGGGCAGAGAGAGGTCACCAACAAAGGTAGTGGTGACATTATCCCATGTGGGAACTTAGTGGCCTGCTGTGTGACTTCAGAAAGTCGCTTCACCCCTGAAGATTCAGTTTGTAAAATGGGAATAATAAACCCACATGGTAGGGTTGTTTCAGGGAATCAATGAGGTAATAGTGTGATAACTTCTAATAGTTTACAGTCTACAGGAATGTGATTCAAGTATTTAAAAAATAAATTGAGGTAAGGATAAAAGAATTGGTTCTTTCAGTGTGTTGGATGGAGAAATGTGTGGTTTTAAAGGTCAATGGATGGAACACTTGATTGGCATTGACCACCAGAATCAAGAGGCTGTGACCTGGTGCTGCCACCTGGTGGAGGCATGCCATTCTACATGGAACTGGAATTGAACCACAAACGTGCAGAGCAGTGAGTGCAGGAGCCATTACGTATTCTCCAGGAAAAAGACTATGTGGGTGTAAGCACATGTGCAGAGATTTTTCTTGTGCAAATATCAAAAATCATTTAAAAATTTTACAATGAACATGTATTAGACTTTTAATCACAATAGTAATATATAAATTTGAGCTATTTTTAAACTTCTTGTACTACTTTCATCACTTAAAAAGTATCTGAGGGGTGGCTCCATAGTGTAGTGGTTAGTATGTCTGCTTTACATGCAGAAGGTCCTGGGTTCGTGCCCCAGGTGGAGCTATGGACCATACCCTGGGTACACCAGGCCCCCTGGGTGCACCAGGCCCTGGGTGTGCCAGATACCCTGAGTGCGCCAGGCCGCGGGTGCACACCATGAGCGTGGGGGAGAAGACGCCCCGCCTTCAGAGATCCAATTCTTAAGGGGAAACGGCAACATCCATAGGTCAAGGGTGGAAGTAGGGGGTGGGGGAAATTAAAGAGGGGAAAAAAGAAAAAAAGAAGTGTCTGAGCCAGTAGCAGGTCCATGTGCATTTCAGTTCTGTCGGGGGTCAACCTCACCTGTCTCCAGGAGAGGTCCCGACCCTCTGGACAGCCCTGCATGTGGTACCATTAACCTGTGCCAAGGTAGGAAGCTGCAGTTCCAGGAAAAGGGCTCACTCAGTGACCAAGTTGGGACATGGGCCCTGTATCCCAAGGTCCTGGCTGGCACCCACCCTCAGGGGAGCCAGAAAAATGGGTGTGGCAGGCAAGGTCATCCATTCTCAAGCAGTGTCCATGAACAGGATGGGCCATATTACCCCAAAATCTTTGTCCATTTTCAGAAGAGTGAAAAGCCATGTGGCACCAGGGTAGGGCCTGGCTGATACCATTACTCCCTTCACCCCTGCTCCCAGGTTTGTTGCATGTTATCACATGTCTCCTGTGATACTCCCAGCATCTCTGGAAGGGGCCAGCAGACACAATGACATACAGAGACTGAGACTGAGAGAGTTAATGTTCTGGGCCCAAGGTCACCCCAAAGAGACAGGTTTTCATGTCCGAGCTCTCCTGCCTTCTACTTTCTCCCAACCCAGACAGGAAGGAATAGAAGAGATGCATCCGGCCCACCCCTCAGCACCTTTTCCGCATCCTTGTTGCTGAGGATTTGGGGATATTTTTTTTTATGATCCTGTCCACCTGCTGCTCACTCAGACGCCCATGGCCCATCAGAAAAGGCGTGTCCTGAACCAGGCGGTCACAGTAGGTCTGCTCTGAAACAGAGGTAGAGAGTGCGGAAGGCATGAGCCAGCACAGCCTGAGGAGGGGACAGCAGACCCCCACCACGACGCAGTGTTGGTACAAACCCCTTGCATCAAGGCCCCCGTGCCCACGGGAGGCCTGCCAGCTGTAAGCACCTGGACAACTGCTGACATCCCAGTCAGCGTGGGTCTTACTCACAGCCCAGAGGCCCCCAGGCCTTGCCAACCCCCTAGCCAGAATATGGGGTGAGTGGGTGCAGCAAGAACAGTCCAGAGTACTCAAAAGCAGAACAGGAATGTGATTCAAGTATTTGCCTACTCTCTTATATGAAAATAAACTCTGAGGTACTAAGAGTATACTGTCCACAGGCCCCCACAGGGCCCTCTGGACATATCTAGGCCTGGGGAAAGGCACGGGCAACCTGGAAAAGGCCCAACCCACAGCTCCCACAGCCTCCAATGTCATGGAGACAGGAGCACAGGGTTCAGGGTAGTCCATGCTGGCATGACACAGGATCATGTGAGCAGAAGGTGGACAGGATCATCCCCAGTCTGTCTGTAAGGCTTTAAGAAGCTGCCACCAAGAGCAGACCAAGAGGCCTGCCCAGGGAACTGGGAAAGGCTTTTTCTTCTTTCAGAAGCACCATTAAAGAACCTTTGTTGCACCTTCTTCTCCATTAAGAACTTTCCTTAGAATGACAAGCTTTTAAAGAGAAGGGATGGGGTAGAGGTCGGCAGGCAGGAGACACAGGGTCTCCAAGGGAGGATCCTGAGTCCCTGTGGCACCAGCTTCCTGAACAGGTACACCACCTTATTTACCTACCTGTGGAAGTTTGTCCCATTCCCTGGTGGACATAGGGGCTGGGGGGTGGGCAGGGCTGTATAGGAAGAGAGTTTTTATATGTGATTGGAGTTAAGTTGGTATCAATTTGAATCAGATTGTTATAACTTTAGTAGGTTATGTATAATCCTCATGGTAACCACAAAGAAAATAGCCACACAATATACACAAAATGAAATAAAAATGTGTTGCTACAAAATCAACTAAAAAATCAACTAAAAAAATCAACTAAACAAAAAAAAGGCAGTAATGAAAGGAACAAAGGACAAAAAAGCTACAAGACATACAGAAAAGAAAGAGCAAAAGACAAAAACAAGTTATTCCTATCAGTAATTACTTTAAATGTAAATGGACTAAACTCTCCAATCAAAAGGCAGAGATTGACAAAATAGAACTGTGGTTTGTGGTGCTGTGATTTATAAGAAATATATGTTTGGTCTTTGTCCCACTTCCTGGCAAACAGCTCTTAAATCCCAGGAATTTCTTAAGCACTGAGCCATGAATGTGAGAATCTTTTGAGACCCTTTCAACCTCACCTGAGTTTGTGTTAATGAGGTGACTTTTGGAAAGCCCCCGAATAACCACAGGGTGGGTGGGACCTGGTTGCCAGGGGAACCAACCAAATGATTAGAGGGTTGGAACTTTCAGCTCTAACCTCTGGGGAGGGGAGAGAGGGCTAGATGTTGAAAAATCACCCCTTTCCACATGCCTTGCCCTATGTTTCTCTTCCATATGGCTGTTCATTTGTACCCTTTGAAATATCCTTTGTAATAAATCGGCAGCAGTAAGTAAAGTGTTTCCCCCAAGTTCTGTGAGCCACTCTAGCAAATGATCTAACTCAAGGAGGGGGTTATGGGAAATCCAATTTATAGCCAGTTGGTCAGAAGCCTAGGTGACAACCTGAACTTGTGACTGGCATCTGAAGTGGGAGCAGTATTGTGGGACTGAGCCCTTAACCTGTGGGATCTGGTGCTATCTCCAAGTAGATGATATGAGAACTGAGTTAAATTGTAGGACACCAAGTTGGTGTCCACCAGAGAACTGGATAATTGCTTGGGGGAGAGAGACGAACCCCACACATTTGGTGACCATAACTATCAGAAGTATTGAAAAGTTGAGGTTTTTTTGTATGAGTAGAGGAGAAACAGTGTTCTTCTCTCAGGATTAACAAAATGTATAACTCAACTATATGCTGTCTTCAAAAGTTTCATTTTAGATCTAAAGACACAAATAGGGTGAAAAGGAAATGATGGAAAAAGATATTCCATGCAAACAGTAACCAAGAGAGCTTAGGTGGCTATACTAATATGAGTAAAAAAGACTTTAAGTCAAAATTGTTACATGAGACCAAAAAGTACATTATATATTAAGAAAAGGGATATTCTCCAAGGAGGTATAACATATATGCACCAACTATAAGAGCACCAAAATATATGAAGCAAACATTGGTAGAATTGAAAGGAGAAAGCTTTATAATAATACTTTGAGACTTCAATACACAACTTTTAATAACAGACACAACCAGACAGATCAATAAGGAAACAGAGGATGTGAACAGCTCTATAAACCAATTATAACTAACACACAATACTCCACCCACAGAAGCAGAATATACATTCTTTTCAAGTGCACGTAGGATACTTTCTAGAATAGACCTCAAAACAAGTTTGGCCACAAAATAGGGCTTAATAGATTTTAAAAAGATTGAAATTAGGAGAAGAAAAAAAAATGGCATAGATGATAGAGGTTCTGTTCATCCCTTTGGCAAACAAGTCAAAGTTGTGATGGAAACAAGGAGCAGCAGCAAGGAAAAATCGCCTGGGATTTAGAGGAACAACCACACAACTAGGCAGAAATCCAAGAAAGCACCCTGCAACAGCAGAAAGGACAGGGTGAGGATGCAGGGCTGCCCAGACTACAGCGGCTGAGTGAGACGGAGGCTGCAGCAGCAGCAGAAGCCTCTTAAAGGGGCCGAGTCTGAGAGCAGATTTTCATGGTGACGGACCTGCTCGCTCTGAGCACCAGAGCCAATTTGGCTGCACACAGTGGGCACCAGGGACTTACAGGGAGACACTGTCAGAGTGAGGACCGAGGCAAAACTCATTTTGTACAGAAGTGCCAGCGGTATCCATTGTTCCCTGTTGAGCCCCCACCCCCATATTCCCAGCTTTCCAGTGCGCCAGACACAGTGCCACCATAGCCGTGATGTCATCAAACTGGATACAGAAGTCGCTCCACCCAGAGGATTCCCTGAAACCCCATCTCCCCCAACTCGCGGCC